AAAACACTCGTATATTAGGGCACTCGTATCTCGAGGTACCACTGTAGTAGATTCATGACCCCACTGACACATCAGCCACCAGCTGCTGATAACTAATACTGTGGCCACCCAGATACACTAAGATAAGCAAACATTTGTTGTTGCTGTGTGCCTTCAAGTCATTTCCAACTTATGCTAACCTTAAGGTGAACCTATCACAGGTTTCTTGACAAGATTTATTCAAAGGGTGCCTGCCCTTGCCTTCCTCTGAGGCTCAGAGAGGGTGACTTGACCAAAGTCACCCAGTGGGTTTCCATGGCTGAGCAGGGAACCCAATCCTGGTCTTCCAATGTTGTAGTCCAAAGCTCAAACCAATACATGACACTGGCATATTTACATTATAATTTGGTAGCTAACAGTAATAAAAGACAGTTATTAATCCCAAGGCTTTTCCATCCTATCTTTTCTAAAGCTAGGCCTGACTAAAAGTTTAAAGCAACTCTTGATGAAAATTTTGTTTCCTTTCTTATAAGAATTTACTCAAACTTGCAAATTTCACCATATTAGTGATGGAAAGAACTTGTGATTAAAAACAATTTGAATGTGGGAGAAACCAAAATTGAAGGTTTTATCCATCCACGTGCAAAAAACAAGGACTAAGATCTTGTGCTTACAGAAATGTTGAAAAATCACAACTGTGAATAGCTTATGTGTTTTGCAGTATGAGGGACACGGTGGCTCAGCAGTTAAGATGATGGCTCTGAGGATTACAAGATTGGCAGGTCGAGGCCCAAGTGCCGTGTGATAGAGTGAGCTCCTGTCACTAGTTCTAGCTTCCGCCTACCTAGCAGTTCAAAAGCATGTAAAAGTACAAGTAGATAGATTTTTAAAAGTACAGGTAGATAAATAGATAAATTCAGTGGGAAGGTAACAGCATTCTTTGCAATCATACTGGCCACACCGGGGGGGGGGGGGGGGGGGGGGGTGTTGCAGACTGCCAGAAATAGTGCAAATTGAGTCCACTTTAAGGGTTAGGGTTAGTGCTAGGGAATCATGGGAATTTTTTTTTCTGAGACAGCCTTCTCTGTCAGAGAGCTTTGGTGCCACAATAAAATACAGTTCCCATGATACCCTAACCCTAACCCTAAAAGTGGACTCAATTTGCACTATTTCTGGCAGTCTGCAACCCCCCACGATCACAGAGTTGTCTTTGACAACACTGGCTCTTTGGCTTAGTAATGGAAATGAGGACCACCCCCTACA